TCAGTCTCTAATGAGGCCATTTTTCATAGTTTGATGTTTTAATCATAATTCGTGTCCTTTAGTCACTCAAAGAGTAATATAACAAATGCTCACGTGACCATCAGTCCTTGTTCAGTGATATGGTGGTTGCCAGAGACTGGAGTGGGGACAGATGGGGAGTTGGTTTCAATGAGTAGAGTTTCAGTTTTGCAGAATGAAAAGGTTCTAGCCACGTGCAAGGATGCACACCTGTAATCCCAGCTACTCTGGAATGCTGAGGCAGGAGGATTGCAAGTTCAAGGTTAGCCAGGACAACTTAGCAAAACTGTCTCAAATTAAAATTGTAAAAGGCTGGGATGAAGCTCAGTGGTTGAACACTTACCTAGCAAGCATGAGGCATCGGGTTCAATCCAGTATCATAATAAGTAAGTAAGTAAATAAATAAATATTCTAGAGCTCTGAACTGTCCTGAGTGGGTAAGATAGTAAATTTTATGCTGTGTGATTCTTTTTAAATAATTTAATGTCAGAAATATTTTTTAAATTTTTAATTGTAGATGGACACAATACCCTTTATTTTATTTATTTATTTTTATGTGGTGCTGAGGATGGAACCCAGTGTCTCACATGTGCTAGACAAGTGCTCTGCCACTGAGCCACAACCACAGCCCTGCTGTGTGGTGTGTGTGTTTTAATCATACCTTTTTTCTTCTGAAAGCCAACCAAACCTTTTACTTCCAAACCACCATCTTTGTTTGCCTAAAAGGGCAGATTTCTGTTGACTCAGCGAACCCTCAAGTGGTCCTCCCACCCACAAAGAAAGGGAAACAGGGAGAGAAGGTCATAGAGTCAGCTTTTCCAACTCAGGGCCATACACATCTAAAGACAAGAGCCCACTGAGGGGTTGGTTGGAGAATTCACCCTGAGGGGTGGGGGGAGTTCTTGGCCAGAGAGGTATTTTCTCCTATCTTGCCTTCTTTCTAAAGTTTGTTTACAAAAAAATATATTCAACAAATAAAGATCACTCAGGGGTTGGGGAGACAAGGGCAGAGGGGAAGATTGAGGTATGTGAAGGAGGCCAAAATTACATGGTCCAGGGACATGGTTCTCCTTCTCTGGTCCAGGCTGGCCCACAGGCAGGCGCTTTGGGGAGTGTCTGGGAGGTGGGCTGGGCTGCTCTGAGGCAAAGCTTCAGAACTGCAGGGAGCTTTGCACAGATATGGAGGGGGTGGCCCATCTGAGGTTGTTCTCCTGGACAGTTTCTGGAGTCCAACCAGGGAACACCATGATGAAGAGAAAAGCCAGACTCTCTTGTGAAGGCTGAGGATCCTGTCAAGAGCCTGGTATATTGACACCATATCCCATCTGCACACCATGGCACCCTCCACCCCAGGGTGCAGCCAGAATCTCCTCAAAAGACCTTTTAGGTCAATTTCACTCAGCCCAATGAAGGCCCTCATTAGAAGACAAGGCTGCCCAGGGCTAGGGATACAGCTGGGGATGTAGCTCAGTGACAGAGTGCTTGCCTAGCTTATAGTCCTGGCTTCGATCCCCAGCACTGAAAAAAAAAAAAAAGAAAGAAAAAGAAAAAGTTTGTCAAATTTTTACTCTGGTGCTTTAGGTTCAGATTTAAATGTCATGATGAAGGGGTTAGTTCAGGAACTAGAATCTCTCCAAGAAGCCTGGGACACAGCTGTGGGCTCAGGGGACCCTTCCCATCAAATTGACTCTTTGCAGGAGGAGAAAGCCCTGTGGGGTTTCTGAAGAGGGGCATGGAGTGTTTGCCTCTTAGGCACACCTCTCTGGTGCTATACCAGAGGAAACTAACTGGAAGGAAAGAAAATGTCCTAGAGGGAAGGAGAGAGCTCTCTAGGAGGTTTGTAACAACATTTCTCATATAGGATCAAGCACAAAACAGGTATAGGATCTCAAATCACAGATGTCGGGGCAGAATCAGACATCCTGGATCACTCGGTCTCACCCTTTACTGGGCAGGTCAGGGGCCCAGAGATGTTTAAGTAACTGGGCAAGATCACAGATCAAATGTAGAACTACAACTCAGGGCCTTAAGTCTGAATCCCACCGTGGCCTCTTTCATCTCTCTCAGTAACTACAATGAGCCTGTGTCTACAATAGATGCTTTAATGAGTTCGTGTGGTTCTCTCTTTCCTGTTCCCATGATAGGGTGTCTGGTGTTCCCCAGAGCTTTCTCTCCTTTCTGCAGTTCGGTCCCCACCACTAGAGCTCCAGAGAGACTCACTATATTCCTGAATCTCTTTTAGTGATGAGGGTCCTTCTCTGGCTCCCAGCCTTCCTGACTTTCCTGATCTTGCTCCAGGCTGCAGCATCTAACACAAGTGGTAAGTGCCACATTGTATTTGTTTCCTGGGGCTGCTGTAACACAGCAGCAAACATGGGTGACTGAGGACAACAGAAATTTATACTCTTACAATCCAGGAGGCTGGAAATTCAAAATCAAGGTGATGGCAAGGTCATGCTCCCTCTAAAGAGTCTAAAGGAGGATTCTAGCTTGCCTCTCACAGCTTCCAGTGGCTCTAGGCATCCTTGATGTCCTCCAGTCACAGCTGCATGACTCCAGTCTCTGCCTCAGCCTTCTCATGGCCTGCTCTGTGTGTCCACTTCTTTACTCACAAAACCCACCAGTTGCTGGATTTAGGGTTCACCTTTTTTCCAGTTTGACCTCATTTTATATCTGCAAAGATTATTTGCAAACGTAAGATCACATTCTGAGGTTCCAAGTGGCCATGAGTTTTGGACGGATCTTCAATCCACCATATTCTCCTTGTTCAGAGAATGGACACTACCCCTTACACTCAGACCCCAAAAGGAATGAAAACAAGGAATCCTGCCTCTACCTTCATGCCATTCCCTTCCCTACTTCAAAGTCTTGGTGATCAGTTAATTTTTGTTGTTGTTGTTGTTGTTCTAAGAATTGAACCCAGGGGTATTTTACCACTGAGACACATCCCCAGCCCTTTTATTTTTTCTTTTGAGATAGGGTCTCACTAAGTTGCTTAGGGCCTCACTAAATTGCTGAGGCTAGCTTTGAAATTGCAATACTCCTGCCTCCACCTCTCAAGTCCCTGGGATTACTGTGTGTGCTGAGAAACTGATGTGACTCCATTTTTGAAAATAAATAAATAACAGCAGCTTCTAGCTCAAGGCCTGTCCTAAGGAAGAGGGTGTGACCCTTGTTCTGGGAAAAACCCACAGAGTACTCCTAAGCACATACCCATCCTGCTGAGTTATTTGTCTGTAAATAACAAGAGAGCTCTGCCTGTTCCAGGTGTCCCTGACTCAGTAAGGCTAGGTGAGGACTCAGAGCAACCCCCCTAGCCACCTCCAATCAGCATGAGACAGGGAAAATACCTGGGATGCCAGATGACCCCCAAGTAGTTTATGGTGGTTGATAACATGTTGTGAAACCATGTAGTTTAGCACGTACACCCCTCGTGGCCTAAACCAATCAGTTCAAAGGAATCCCCGTCTTGTACTAACCAATCACCCCTACCCAACTTGTTCCCCCCAGTGAATGTGCTAATCAATGTTAAGAGTTGTTGTTTGACTTTCCCACGGTATGGAATGATTTGCTGTGTGATGTTGTGATGCATAGAGTATCCCCCCAAACCTGTAAGATCTCACTGGATAAAGGACTGGGACTCACTCCCTGGGACCGCTGTGTCAGAAACGGTTGTGAGTCCAGGCTCGAGCTTGCAATAAAGACTCTTGTGTGATTGCATTGGATTCGGCTCCCAGAGGTCTACTGGGGTCCCACAAATCTGGCATTACAGTGCCACCATGTCAGCTCAGTCAATTTTTTGACAGACTTATTTAATGGTCCATGGGACCATCACCCCAGGAGCCAGAAAAAAATCCACCTAGCCTGGGAGCCCAAGACAACTTGGGTGGTTACACCAGATACTCAATAATCTCATCACTGGGTGTTCAAGAAGAATTTGGAAGAGTAATTTTGACATCTTGTTGAAGATTAGAGAGTACTCATCCCATTCTGTGCTTCCATCCTTTAAAGGGTCTTCTCAAAGTTTCTTAGTCTTGGTCTTCTGACTGCTCAGATTTGATTGGTGGAGATAATGACTGAGAAAGAGGGAGACAGAAGCGAGAGGTTCTCCAGTGAGTGGTATCTGATGCTCTGCTTCTTCCTTCCTCCCCACCCCCAAGCTCAGTTCAACAGCACTGCTTCCATCTCTGATGCTGTGAGTCAGGTCAAGGTCCAAGTCAACAAGGCCTTCCTGGATTCCCGAACCAGGTATGTGTATGAGATGCATATGTGTACTTCCCCTCAAGGTTTCCTGGTAACAACCAGCGTATCTAGGTCAGCTCTGACAAGCCAGTGAGCCAAAGCAATTATAAAGCTTGTCCTTCCGCCTGCCCCTCACCCCCAAGTAGGTGTCTGTTGAGAGCCACAGCCTAAGGGGCCCCAGCAAACTTCCAGCTGCCGGCTGATGATTGGCTCACAGCGGCCCCAGCAACATCTAGCTGATTGGCTCCTCTGCGGTGATGCTCATTGGGCTGTTTCCCTGCCCTTTCAGACCACAGAGCTGCTCATTGGGGGACTTTTTTGGCTCCGCCCACATGACCCAGCCAATCCACCTCAAGAGCAGGAGGATTGTGGGAGGTGGAGAGAGGCTTGTGTTGGAGAGAGAGGCTTGTGTTGGAGAGAGAGGCTTGTGGAAAGCCGGTGGTGGCAGTTGGGGCTCTGAGGGTTTTTCCTGAGAGGCTGTTTTGTTTGGCGTGTGTGGTTCTAAAAATAAAGTTAGTTTCTTTTGACTAGTGGCTCCTGATTGTGCCCAGCCAGACTGCAGCAGGTGTCAAGGAGGAACAATAGCTCCCATCTCCTAAAATCCTCAGCCTCTAAGGTATCTTGAAGGGACATCTCATCTAGTCCTATAGAGACTTCCTTCTGTGTGGCCTAAGTGCTACCCTCTGGGACTGCTCTTGGGTCATGTGTGCTCATCTCAGAAAGACTCCAAGTAGAAGGTCTTTTTGTTGCTTTGTTTTATTTGCAGTACTGAAGATAGAATCCAGGAGCAGTCTACCTCTGAGCTACATCCCCAATGCTTTTCATTTTACTTTGAGACAGGGTCTTGCTAAATTGCCCAGGTGGGCCTCTAACTTGCAGTCCTCCTGCCTCAGCCTCCTGAGTAGCTGGGATTATAAGCACGTGCCACCATGCCTGGCTAGAGCCACTGGGCCTAGCCAGAAGATCTTCATTCATTTAATGAATATGGACTAATTTGGGTCAGGTTCCCCAGGAGCAGAACCAAGGCCTGGATTTGCTTGTAGGTAATTCTGAAGGGGAGGTCTCTCAGGGAGGCTGCAATGAAAAGAGAAGGGAAGAGAAGTAAAAGGAAGAAGTTAAGTGAGGATGTGGGTTCAGGTCTGACTTCAGCGTGACCCACAGGGAAACCTGGAGTATAAGGTGTACCCCAAAGCCTGTCCCAGCTTGGAGAATAGGAGCAAGGCTTTTGCCTACTCACATCATGCAGGTGTGGCTGCAGGCTAGGGGCTACAGGGAGGTACTGGAACATACTCGTGTTACTCCTGGGGACCTCCAGCCAGGGAGCTCCAGTGGCTCAGAAAAAAGTGCCCAACGAGGTCACAGGGTCAGCTATTAGTGGCTGCACTGACAATAACTAGGGAAAGAACACACTCAAGAGAGCCTGGGATCCCCCAGGGCACCAGCACAATCAGCCACCCTCCACCCATGAAGGAACTGAGACTCATGACATATACAAGGCAGACCGGGTTCCTGCACTCAGGACACCCACATTCCATTGAGAGCTAACAAGAGAAAAAGAGGGACCATGCACCCAGCAGAAATACCCTTATTCTTTCCTCTTAATCTGTCCCTAATACTATATCTAGGGCTTCTCTCCTCCTTGCCCTTGAAGGAACTCTGAAGCAGTCCCATAACTCTTTGGGTGACTTTTTGATGATGAAATGTTTTCTAGTCACTTCTGGTCCCAGAACAGTACCATTTCAGGAATTAAAAGGTCAGCATGAGACAAAGCCCCAGGCTGCTCACTTCCCTCAGCCCACAATCCCTTGGGGAGGGAGCTCAGTGACCTTCTCCCTCTTTCCTGGACTTACCCTCTTCCTCCTCCTTGGCGGCTGAGCTGGGGGAAGGGAGGGCAAGTTCACAATCTAAAAATCAATGTGAAGATTCCTTAGAAAACTTGGAATGGAACCACCATTTGACCCAGCTATCCCATTCCTCGGTCTATACCCAAAAGACTTAAAATCAGTATACTATAGTAATAGCCACAACAGTGTTTACAGCAGCTCAATTCACAATAGCTAAACTGTGGAACCAACCTAGGTGCCCTTCAATAGATGAATGGATAAAGAAACTGTGGCATAAATATACAATGGAATATTACTCAGTATTTAAAAAGAATAAAATTATGGCATTTGCAGATAAATGGATGGAGTTGGAGAATATCATGCTAAGCAAAGTAATCCAATCCCAAAAAACAAAGGCCGAATGTTCTCTATGATAAGTGGATGCTGACCCATAATGGGAGAGGGGCGCATAGAAAAAATGGAGGAACTTTGATTGGGCAAAGGGGAGGGAGGGTTGGGGCTGGGGCATGGGGGCAGGAAAGATGGTGGAATGAGATGGACATCATTACCCAAGGTACATGTATGACTGCGCATATGGAGCAATGCTACATTGTGTACAACCAGAAAAATGAAAAGTTGTGCTGCAGCTGTTTACAATGAATCAAAATGCATTCTGCTGTCATATACACCTAATTAAAAACAAGGGGTTCCTCAAGTCTATGTCATAGGTCCTAGGTAGTTTTCAGGCCAGCCCAGTGCTACCCTCTGGGACTGCTCTCATCCATTTCCCCACCTTCCCTCAGAGCTTGACACATACCTAAAGACCACAGTAGCTTCCTCCTCTCTGAAGAGGTTTTCCAGAGGTGTTAGAAGAAAAATAAAGAAAAGATCCTAAGAGCACAGAATATTTGTCTCCTATGTGCTGCCCACACCCGGGGGGCTCCTCCCTGTGCACACACCATCTCCATGCTCCTCCAATGGGCCACCAACTTCCTTCTACATGATCCCCTGTTGCTCTCCATTGTAGGCTGAAGTCCTCCCTGAGCTCTGAGACTCCCACCACCCGACATCTCTCACAGTACCTCAAGCAAGCCAAAGGCCGAACCCGAGTAGCTATTCGCAGTGGGCAGGTGTGGGAGGAGTCCTTAAAGAGACTGAGACAGGAGTCGTCCTTGACCAACGTCACAGGTACAAAAAACTCACTAGCCCTCTGGGGTCAGGAGGAATCATCTCCCCACAGAAAATAGCAGAGGCTGCCAAGAGTTGCACTTCCTGCTAGAAGCTGGCATTCCTTTCCCCCTGAGAGCTATAGGCCAGACTGGCAGAGCGAGGAGGTGCTTAGAGGACAGCTAGACCACTGCTGTTTTTGCAGATGAATGAACTCAGACCTACCAAGGTCACATTGCCAGCTCCTAATGAGAGGGTGTGGGCGATCTTTGTATAATACCATCTGTGAGGCCTCTACTTAGAGGAAGTGCTAAGGTCAATAAACACAGGCTCCCTGTTCCAAACCCCGGTGTCACCACTTCTGTCAGTGGAGGCAACATTTAAGCCTCCTGTGTCAGGTGGATTTACTGGTATTATCTAGCAAGTGATGAGATCTCTATCTTGTTCTGGGTAACAGGGAGCTGACACCCTGTTTCCTGCCTCAGAATGGAAAAAGAACCCTGTCCCTTTGGTGTCCCTTCTGTTTTAGGCTCCAGCCTGAATTTGACTTTGCTCTCTTGGGAGGTGGGCTGTGAAGCCCCTGCTCCTGTAGAGAAATGCGACATGGACAGTCCTTACCGCACCATCATGGGAGACTGTAACAACAGGTGACTGGGCGGGGGTGGGTGTGGGGGACAGAGCCTTCCAACCACCACGCCCAGCCCACCTGCCCAGCCCCGCCAAGCCAGGCAGAACTCCCACTGCCTTGTCCTTCTGGATCCTTCTAAAGATTGCATGTCTCCAGTGAGCCACGGTATCCCTCGGGAAGTGTCCCCTTTCACCAGGTCATAGGAGGACCGCACCTTGGGGGTGGGGATTCAGGGCCCCACATTTAAGAGGCATCTCCTCGGAGTCCCCTTTTTGGGTCAGAGCTCCCGGCTTCGTCCCCATCGGGGTAGTGCGTCCTGGAACCCCAGGCCTCAGGGACTCAGTGCTACAGAACCGAAGGCCAGGGCTGAGACCGTTTTTCTGGGTTCCAGGAGGAAGCCAGCGCTGGGCGCCGCCAACAGGGCCCTGGCTCGCTGGCTGCCCGCCGAGTACCAGGACGGGCTTTCCCTGCCCTACGGGTGGACGCCGGGGAGGACGCGGAACGGCTTCCCGCTCCCGCTGGTGAGCGCCGACGGGCAGGGTGGGGCGCGCCCTCGAGGATGCGGGTGAAGGATGGGAGTCGGAGGGGGACCGATGCACCCCCTCAAACACGCAAGGGAAACGAAAAGAAATAGGTGGGAGGCTAGAGGGATGCGCGGCGGAGTCACCAGTAGAGATGATTTGGGTTGTTCCCCAAAATGTCACTAGAGGGCAGCAGAGCCTGGGGTCCAGCCACGTGATGGTCACGTCCCAGCTGCCACAGGCCAGATACCCTGGGGTCTCCAGGCAGATGGCTTCCCTGCCCCATCCTGCTCCTGCCTACCCTGCCCCAGCCCCTGGGGTGCATCAGCTGTCATTTGCCTGGGGGGTCCTATCTCTTGGCCTCAACTGAGTTGGCAGCACCTCCCCAGAGCCCCGGTCCTACGCCCAGACACCTGGCCCCTCTGTGGCACTTACTTCAGAGGCAGCCTGCTTTTGTTTCCCCTCTCAGTAGTGGAGAAAGCACTGACCTTGTGCATGGTCAAGGGATACAGACCTGGATTCAGCACCATGCCTGCCAGGACCTGAGAGCATTGACTTCACCTCTCTAGGATTTACTCTCCTTATTTACAAAGTGGACTAATGCTACCCACCTCACAAGCTCACTGTGCTCAATAAATTGACTCTGAATCCTCAAAGCACTTTTTCCTTCAATCTGCCCTCCCTTTCTCTCTGCATCTGTAGGCCCGGGAGGTATCCAATCAGATTGCTGGTTATCTGAACGAGGATGGTGTTCTGGACCAAAACAGGTCCCTGCTCTTCATGCAGTGGGGTCAAGTTGTGGACCACGATCTGGACTTTGCCCCTGATACAGAGATGGGGAGTAGCGAGTACTCCAAAACCCAGTGTGATGAGTACTGTATCCAGGGAGACAACTGCTTCCCCATCATGGTAAGCCCCAGCAGGTGAACGTCCTTCACAAGCCCCGTACTGACCCCATGTAACAGACATTCCCAGCCTAACGGCCAGGGTCTCATGATGGATCTTGGATGCTGATTTAATAGCTTTCCAAGCCTCCCTCATGCATTCATTTATTCAGTAATTAGACATTAACCGTCTACCCTGTGCCAGACAATGCACCAAGCACTGGGATTTGAAGGTGAATAAGACACTGTTCCTGCTCTCAAGGACAAAGGCCCAGTGTGGGAAATGGACAAGTAAACTACTAATTGCAAAATTGGGAAGCTGGGTGGGGGGTTATATCCCCTACCCAACAGCATCAGTATCACCTGAGGGTTTATTAGAAATGCAAAATCTCAAGGCTCCTCCAAACACTGGAAAATAGATTCTACATTTTCCCAACATCCCAGGAGGTTCATCCTGTATTTAAAGTTAGTGGAATCCTGAAGGATGATTTTATCTCCCAGAAAGAACTGAAACTTGATGTATGAGTCAGTGAGCAGCAAGGATTGGTGACAATGTCCAGCAGACAGGGAGACGAGCTTGTAATGGTGTCCTTTCTTCTTATTTGTGGGCTTTGCAGTTAGAGTGTTATTTATTCACTCAGACAACAAATCAAGGCTCCATGCTGTGGTATAAAGGACAGGAGCTGTGGAATGAGGTCAATCTGGATCTGAATTTCACATCTTTCCCTTCCAGTTTGTAAGTGCCTAGGCAAGTTACTTAACCTTTCTGAGTCTCACTTTTCTTATGCATAAAAAGGATCTGAATGGTCTACTTTATGAGAACTGAAGTGAGATAAAGTATGCCTAATGCCTGGCATCTGGTAGGTCCAGAATAAACAAAGGGTTACTTTTGTTGGTAGTAATTGTTAACAAAACCCTTTCCCATCTCATGTGCTGCTTCCCTGTCTAGGGATTCCAGGACATCCTTCCCACCAGAAATTCAGAGCCCTTGCTGTGAAATAATGAATTATTGCTCTCAGCTCTTTACACAACAGGATGTAATGAACTTCATGACATGTTGGGCCAGGGATGTGAAAAGTCCCTGAGGAGACATCTGGGGTCAGTGTCTGGCACCAGGGTTCCAGGAGGGTACCATCACATCTTTGCATCCAGTCTAACCCTAGGGAGAGGTTGTCAGTCTAGTGTGCTGTTCCTGCTTAGTCACCCACTCCCAATGTCTCTGCAGTTCCCACCCAATGACCCCAAGTTGGAGACTCAAGGGAAGTGCATGCCTTTCTTCCGAGCCGGGTTCATCTGCCCCACTCCGCCCTACCAGTCACTAGCCCGAGAGCAAATCAATGCTCTAACCTCCTTTCTGGATGCCAGCTTCGTGTATGGCTCTGAGCCAAGCCTGGCCAGTAATCTGCGCAACCTCAGTAGCCCCGTGGGCCTCATGGCTGTCAACGAGGAGTTCTCAGACCACGGGCTACCCTACCTGCCCTTTGTCACCAAGAAGCCTAGCCCCTGCGAGTTAATCAACAAGACAGCCGGCGTGCCCTGCTTCCTGGCAGGTGAGTCTAGGCTGGGAAGAGAATGATGGGCCTGTGGACAAGGGATTATCCAGGGAAGCTTTACCACTGCTCCCTTCTCAACATCCTTTTGGGAAAATGCACAAGAAGGCACCAATGTCTGTGGCACTGATCCAGGACTGGCAGAGGGGCCCAGATGGAAAAAAAAAATCTAGGAACATGTGTTCACTGTATAACAAGTACGAAAGTCCAGAAAAGCATAAACAAAATCCATATAATTCCACCACCTACCAACAATCATTAATATTTTAATGCCAATCATTCCAGTTTTTTCTCTCACATAGTTCTGCATCGTTCTATGTGTCACACTATAAATTATGCTCTAGGGGCTGGGGATGTGGCTCAAGCGGTAGCGCGCTCACCTGGCATGCATGCGGCCCGGGTTTGATCCTCAGCACCACATACAAACAAAGATGTTGTGTCTGCCGAAAACTAAAAAAATAAATATTAAAAAATTCTCTCTCTCTCTTTAAAAAAAACAATTTAAAAAAAAATTTAAAAAAAATAAATAAATTATGCTCTATAATCTGATGTCTTCACCTAACATATCCCACATCATTATCTGTTCTTCTACAACATGATTTTTAATGGCTGCCTGATATTCTGTGGTATATCTTAACCAAAAAAAAATTTTTTTTTTTTTGGATCCTCTTTGGAGGCGATTCTAGTTTCTCTTTGTTTTCTTAGTGTTTAGGTAGTGAACAGTCTTGTTGATGAATCTTTGGTCTCATCTTTAATACATTTATTAAGGCATTTTCCTCAATGAGAAAGTTCTAGATTAAGAAGAACCTTAGCCCAAACCTACCACTCCATACAATCTGTGCACAACCAGAGCCCTCCTGATTCTGTTCTTTCCAGGAGTTCATGCTCTCCTGGTCCTCTGTGTCTCTGGCTTCTGGAAACATACCCTCCAGAATTTACTCTCCCAGGACAAACCTCTGGCCACCCTAACAAAGCAGTAGGCCAAGGACTTTTGGTAGATCTTTTTAATTGTGTGCCCACATACACCCAACACCAATCCAGACATGGAACCAAGTGCTTTCCTGTTTTTCATAAAAATAGCCACTAATGCCAAGCATTAGCAAATTTAAGAGGCCTTTCTTTTTTTTAATATTTATTTTCTGGTATATATGGACACAACACAATGCCTTTATTTTTACGTGGTGCTGAGGATCGAACCTGGGTCCCACCCGTGTAGGCGAGCGCTCTACTGATGAGCCACAATCCCAGCCCCTTAACAGGCCTTTCTTAAGCCTAAAGAACACAGGGAGAAATCCCCTGGTGAGACACCTGATCTTCACCATTTTGACTGTCTCCCCCTCCTTGCTTCTCTCCTTCTCCCCAAAAGGCCCCATCTCCAGATTCTTCTCCCTCTATTACCCAGAGGAATTCAGCCTTACCCAGGCTCCTGCCCTCAAACCTGCTTTCATAAAATTTTCAAAGATACTCTGCAAAGTAAAAAGCCCCTAGCTTTGTTTATTTGAACTGCCCTTCTTGGAAAGTTGGGTAATAATTTATAAAAAAATTTCCCACCTAAATTATGAGACTGAGGCTCAGAAATGTCAAGTAATCTGCCCAAGATCACCCAGCTAAAGAATATGTGTATAGAATTCAGATGCAAAGCTATGATTCCACCTTCTCCTATCCCTCTCCACCTGGCTTCCCTTGGATGGAGGGCCCCCAGGAGAGCACCTTGGGGCACTATCATATCTTCGTGCTGGTCACCGAGTTCTGCTCAGGGAGAACCTATCTTCCTGCCTTCTGGGCTTTCAGGAGATGCCCGAGCCTCAGAGCAGATCCTGCTGGCCACTTCCCATACCCTGTTTCTTCGAGAGCACAACCGGCTGGCCAGGGAACTGAAGACACTCAACCCTCAATGGGATGGAGAGAAGCTGTACCAGGAAGCCCGAAAAATCCTGGGAGCCTTCATGCAGGTACAGAGGTGCAGGAACCCACTGCCAGGCACCCGGTTCCTGCTCCAGGCTCTGTCCTCTGCTCACTGTGGTACCCCAAGCCACCTCTGCTGTTCTCCACACCTCCCTGCCCCTTCCTCTCCACTACTGCTTCTCTTCCATTGTCTTGCTCTTTAAAATCCTCCCCCTTTTGTTTCTTCAGCTTCTCTGTCCCAAAATGAAACCCTGGGTTCAGAGTGTCAGAGAGTTGTTCATACCTTGGTGCCTCAGCATGCCTGCCCTGGTGCCAGCATTGGGACTGTAGGCACCATTCTTCTTGGGACTGCTATAGAGCAGTGACTTGGACTCTTTTGATTTGATTCTCTTCCTTTTTAATTGTCTACACCTAACCCACGTGTCATGGGCACACTCAGCTGGTATTGCAGATTTGATCATCTAACTAGAAAGACTTGGAATGATGGGTTGATATTTACCCTATATAAACTTTTTAAACATTTTACTTTCAAATAATTATAGCTTCTTGAGAAGTTGCAAAGCAAGCCAACAAACCAACAAAAATGTACAGAGAGGTCCATGTGCCCTTAACCCAGCCTCTCCCAGTGCTGACATCTTACATAGCCATGGTACAGTAGCAAAACCAGGAAGTTAACATTGTTCAGGTTTTACTAGTCATAAATGGAATCGTGTGTGTGTGTGTGTGTGTGTGTGTGTGTGTGTGAAGCTCCATGCAATTTTAGCACAGGTATAGCTTTATGTGACTACTGCCACAATAAAGATACTGCACCATCTCATGCTACTCCTTTAGAACTATCTCCACCCTCACCCCTATGTCCCTAACCCCAGCAAAATTCTAATCTATCCTCCATCTCAATAATTATGCTATTTCACAAATTTTATATAAATGGAATGATGCAGTATATATCCTTTTGAGATAGGCTTTTTTATTTAGCATAATTTCTGTGAAGTTCATTCTAATGGTTGTGCATATCAATAGCTCTTCCTTCTGCATGGTGTGTATTACCACCATTTTTTTAATATTTATTTTTTAGGTTTAATTGGACACAATATCATTATTTTACATTTTTGTGGTGCTGAGGATCAAACCCAGTGCCTCATGCCTGCTAGGCAAGCGCTATACCACTGAGCCACAACCCCAGCCCCACCACCATTTTTTTTTTAACCATTCAGCTATTGAAGGATATCTAGATAGCTTCCAGTTTAAGGTTACTATGAATGAAGCTGCTATGAACATTCATGTATAAGTTTCTGTGTGAAACTAAGTTTTTTTTTTTTTTTTTGAGGGAATATATGCCTGAGATTACCATTACTGGGTCATATGGTAAGTCCATTTTTGCCTTTAAAAGGAACTGCCAAACTATTTTCCAGACTGGCTGTACCATTTTACATTCCCACCAGCAATGTATGCATGATCCAGTTTCTCTGCATCCTGCTCAACATTTGATATCCTTATTATCTTTTATTCTACCCTTACTGATAGGTCTGTAGTGATATCTCTTTGTGGTTTTAATTTGCATTTCTTTATTGGCTAGTGGTGTTAAACATATTTTCATGTGCTTGTTTGCCATTTGTATAGCCTCTTCAATGTTCTGTTCATGTATTCTTGGGCTGTTGTCTTTTAATGTTGAGTTTTGAGAGTTTTCTCTATATATTCTATACACGAGTCCTTTGTCAGACATATGACTTGCAAGTATTTTTTCTTCCACCTGCGCGGTAATTTGTTTGGTTTGGTTTTGGTTTTATTGAGAGGGGTTTCATCCTCTTAACAGGTCTTTTGCAGACCAAACTTTTAATTTTAAATTGAATGAGGCTCATTTTTGTCAGTTTTTCTTCTTATGGATTGTGCTTATGGTAGCAAATGTCAGAATGCTTTCCTTTTACTTGACCCACTTTTTAAGTTTAATTCTTCTTAAGTATTTTCTCTATATAGATTTAGCACAACCTCATATAGAGCTTCAGTCATAAAATATTATTAAAGAAACCTATAGGATAGAAAATAATTGATTATGTTTACTTTTTTTTTTTTTTTTTGCCATTGTGTATTGTGTGATTGTGAAGTCTAAACTCAGGGCCTTATGCATGCTAGACAAGTGCTCTACCACTGAGCTACATCCCCAGCCCTTGTTATTTTTTATTTGAGATGGGGTCTCACTAGGTTGCTTATATCCTGGCTAAGATGCTGAGGCTGGCTTCGAACCTGTGATCCTCCTGCCTCAGGCTCCCAAGCCTCTTGGATTACAGACATGCACCACCACACCCAGCTTTGTAGCCATTCTTTAAGGGTAAATGGACTAGCAGTAAATTCTCTTAGCTTTCCTCTATTTGAGAATGTCTTTATTTTCCTCTTGTTCCAGAGGAACAGTTTCACCAGATGTTAGATTTGGGGTTGACAATTCTTTTCTTTCGGCACATAAAAAATGTTCCACTTCATTCTGACCTCTGTGGTTTCAGATGAGAATTTTGCTATTATATGAATTGATATTTCTTTTTAGGTAATGTGTCGCTTCTCTTTGACAGTTTTTAAAACTTTTTCTGTGTGTTTAGTTTTCATAAGTCTAATTGTCGTGTGTCTTGGAGTGAACTTCTTTTTGGTTTATCTTGTTTTGGGTTCATTCCTCTTCTTGTATGTGTAAATGTATGTCCTTCACCAATTTGGAGAAAATTTCAGGCATTTTTTTTCTTAAATCCTTTTTCAGTTTCACTCCCTTTCTCCTCTGCTTCTGGGACTCCACTGATATGAAGGTTAGATAGTTTGTTATTGTCCTACAGAACCAGTGACTCTGTCTTGCTGGAGGTTTATTTATTTTTTTCCTTTTTTTAATCAGTGTATTTTCTCTCTGATGTGCAGATTGAGTAAATTCTACTAATCTGTCTTCATTTCTATTCTTGGTTATGTCCACTCTACTATTATTGAGTCTATTCAAGTATTTTGGATTTTTTTTTTCAGGTAGTATGTTTTCAGTCCCATCATTTCATTCTATTTCATCTTCTGCTTTTTGCTGAGATATTCTGTCCTTCGTTTCTTTTCTTGAGGAGAATCGATAATTAGTTATTGAGACATTTTTAAAGTGGCTGCTTTAAAAATCTTTATCAGATAATTCCAACATTCATGTCGCTAGAGGCATCAGTTGATTGTCTTTGCTCACCAGTGTGGTTTTCCTGGTTCTTGGTGTTATGAATGACTTTCAGTTGTATCTTAAGGCATTTTGGCTTTTCTATTAGGAGACGCTTGATCCTGTTTAAAATCTGTTTTAGGGGCTGGAGTTGTGGCTCAGCAGTAGAGTGCTTGCTTAGCACATGTGAGGCCCTGGGTTCGATCCTCAGCACCACATAAAAATAAATAATATAAAGGTATTGTGTCCACCTACAATTTAAAAAATATATATATTTTTTTAAAAATCTGTTTTAGCATGCAGGTACCTTGTTTAGGTTTAGCACGTAGGTTCTGATCTACTTTCGTTTTAGTTCCAGTGACAGCTTAGTTTCTTGAGCCCTTCCTATGCTGATCTGGTCTGCTTCATTCTTCTGGTGCTTCTGAGCTCCCCACTTAGCCCCAGCTGGTCCTGTCTACAGTGCAAGAAGGTTCTTTCCTGGCTGTCAGCCGTTGCTAAGCAACCTTCTGGGGAAGCAGAAGCCACAAACTTGGGTATCCCTGGTGAAAATCAAAGGTAAAGAGCAAAGGGACACAGTGTTCACTGCTGCCACGGCTGCAGGCTGATCAGACCACCCGCCAGCCTGGATTGTGGATGGAAGGCTGGGATGGCAGGGCTTCCCCAGGACTCAAGGTGTGAAGCGGGGACTGCGGCTTTCCTCTGAGTCTGTACTGGCTCTCCCCCATCCTAGTGCTTTAGAAGGAGACAGGAGGCTTTTCTTGGCTTCTCTCTACCTGTTCCTGTTCTCCAACAGCCTCTTCTGCTCCCAGTCTGTGGGTATGACATTCCTCAAGTCCTGAGGTTCCCAACCAGTCCATCTTCTTTTTTGTCAGCTTTTAGAGCCCTCTTACTATTGCCTGATGAATAATTTCCAGGGTTTTTAATTATATTCAATGGAGCAGAGTAAGGTAAAATGAGTCTATTCCACTCTAAAACCAGACGTCTCATGCACCTATTTTTTTGTTATCAAAGAGATCTATTCTCATATTTAAAAAAAAAAAAAAAAGAAAAGAAACAGGACCCAAAATCATGCTGCTGGAGATGTTTGTAGGAAATCATCCAAGAGAATAAAAAAAATGTCTGCCTAAAGATTGCATGAGTTAAATATTGTATTAGTTTGCTAGGGTTGCCACTAGAGTGTCAATATTTTAGGATGGCTTATACAACAGAATTTTCTCACAGTTCTGGAGGCCAAGTTCAAGATCAAGGTGTTGGCAAGTCTGGTTTCTCCTCAGATCTTTCTCCTTAGCTTATAGTCATCTTTCCCCCATGTCCTCTCTTGGTCTTTTCTCTGTTCATTCTCATTCCTGTTCTGCCTCTCTGTCTCCCTCTCTCCCTCTTTATAGGGATACCAGCCCTACTGGATTAGGGTGCCATCCTTATGACCTCAGTTTCCTCCTTAAAGACTCCACCTTCAAATATGCACACATTGGAAGCTTTGACATATGGATGAGCAGGGGACACAAGTTCATCCATAACAAGGCTTTTGGGCCTACAAGAAAACAACTCAGTCTAGTTCAGATGTTCAGTTAGGTTCAACCCCATCCAAGTGTCAAATGGAAGATGAGAAAGGTTTCTCCTGGGACCCCCATAGTCAGTAGAGTGGTTAGAGCCTCATCCAGGGTTGAATCAGACGATGGAAATCATCTGGAAGTAGGACAACTACTCTTGCTAGCTCCCTCCTCCCTGCTCCTCTCTCTACTTCTCCACTCTCAATGCAGATGGGTTTTCTCTGCTTTCCAGCAGATGGTAAAAAAAATAACCACCCATGTGATCTCATCCGTCCTCTCAAATTAAGCACCATCTGAAATAGCTATATCCAGAACCTAAATTCTTGAGACAGAATCATACCAGCTTGTTCTGGAGCCACAGATGGGCCAGTCACTGTGGCCAGAGGCAGGGCTCTGTCTCCTGCATCCTCTACAGCCTGGGGAGCAGAGTGCCTGCTGGATGGATGATATCCCCACAGGCTAAGCCATGGACAGACTGGAAGCCAACCTGAGGGTAAATCTCAATGAATGCATTAGAATATTGCACACATTTAAAATAATTGTGAAAGCTAGGTCGAAATGTGGAAAATGTTAATTGACAAAGAGGAAATGCTCTCTAGGAGTAAAACTGTGTCAAAATATGCATCATATAAACAAAGAAAGAAAGGATAAATATTGAGTTGTTTTTTTTTTTTTTTTTTTTGTAGTAATTCATTGTATTTGAGTAAAACCAAACCAGGAATCAGCCTCTCTATGGTGCAGCACTTCTTTCAAAACTGGGGATGGAATGAAGTTCCCTTGGTGGTCCCTGACTCATTTCTGTGGTTCATCATCCCTCTTACGCTGGCCTGTGAGGAAAAGTTTAATAATATGACATTGTTACATTTAAATGACATATAGGCACTGCCACTTTCGCACCAAGGTCATAAACTTAGAGCAAAGATGCATAGAGAGTATATATCAAATGCCAAATTCAAATGACTGATTTGCCTATATGGAAACAAATCATGTGAGATCACAGAAAGAATGTCATGTTTGATTAACAATGTCTGCCACGGTCATAGGAATTGAAACAAGGTACAAAGGCTGTTTGCCACCCTTGACTGCTCATGCCCCTTGGTGGCAGCTCCTCTTCAGCCTCCCTCTGTAGAGACTTAAGCCTTCTCACATTCTTTCTTCCTAATTTGCCTCTCCCTCTAGATTATCACCTTTAGGGACTACCTACCCATCGTGTTAGGTGCTGAGATGCAGAAGTGGATCCCCCCATACCAAGGCTACAATGAATCTGTAGATCCCCGAATTTCCAACGTCTTTACATTTGCGTTCCGCTTTGGTCATTTGGAGATCCCCCCTACTGTGTCCCGCCTGGATGAGAATTATCAGCCATGGGGTCCAGAACCGGAACTCCCCCTGCACACGCTCTTCTTCAACACCTGGAGGATGGTCAAAGATGGTATGTCCAATCAGGAAAGTGCCCTCCCTCTCCTGACTCCCCCTCGTTGCAGCTTGCTGTTAGGGACACCTGGCCTGGAAGTCAGATTGCAAGCACTTCCTGTGGGGCCTTGGGCAAGTGAATTCATCTTAACTGAGCCTCATTTTCTTTGTTTGTAAAATAGGGACAATAATAGTACCCATCTCGTGAGGATATCCAAAAAGTTAAAGGAAATAGATGTGTAGAGAACCCTAAAATGATTCCTAACACACAAAAGGTTATCAGTTATTCCTTTCCTCCTTCTAACTTGTAAGCTGCCTGGGATTTCCTTACCTCTTCTCTATGACCTAGGGCTTCTCTGCCCTCTGAAGACAGAGTTCATGGTCTTCTCAAATAGCTCTTCTCTGCTCTCTTCTAGAACCTTCCACCCCATGAGGTGCCAGAGGTTACATGCAACTGTCCTTTACCCCTGTCTGTTCTGTGCTGAAACTAGCTTAGTAAGGGCCTAGCAAGCCAGGGCCATTTATTAAAGATGTGCACCCCCCTCCCCCACCCCCATCTTCCCGTGCTGCAGTGTTCTTCAGGGCAATATATGGAAAGAGAAGGAGCTGACCCGATGAACTAGAACTTGAAAACAGTCTTGATATTTATATTCATGCCACCGTCCCATGAATGGCCCTTCCTACCACCCCAGGAGTGGGCAATCTGGACTCCCCTTTCCCTGAGCTCACCTGTGTTGTCTTCTTCTCTTACTGTTTCCAGCCAGGGATGTTTAGTTGGCCCTATTTTAGACAGGTAATTTGTCTGGTGGAGGGAGGGGCTGGCTGTGGGAGACGTCCTCTTCCTCTTCCATCCTAAGGATGACCTCTGGGTCTCCCTTTGCAGGTGGAATTGATCCTCTGGTTCGGGGCCTGCTGGCCAAGAAGGCCAAGTTGATGAATCAGAATAAAATGATGACAGGAGAAGTACGCAACAAGCTCTTCCAGCCGACACACACCATCCATGGCTTCGACCTGGCTGCCATCAACATCCAGCGCTGCCGGGACCATGGGCAGCCTGGTAAGTGGGCCAAGGGTCTGGCCCAGCCTGGAGCACTTGTAGCTACTTTCTAGGGTCCCTGGAGATTCTCCTCTGTAACCCTGAGCATCTGATCGATTCTGAAACAGAAGGCAGGCCAGTTTTTTAAAACCCATGTTGCTCATCCCTGAAATGGAATCTTTCATTTTCCCTAATGCAGAGACAGGAGCACATACCTGATACCATCTTGGAGTTCCTCTGCTGTAAAGGAGATCAACAACTAACTTGTAAATGAGCTTAGAATCCCAGAAAACATTAAGAAAACAATAGAGAGAAGCCAATGACCACTGGAACTTTTTTTGATACCCATAATGGCAATTTAATGTAGTTAAGAATCAAACTGCCCAAGTTCAAATCCCAGCTGTGCCATTTACTAGTTCTGGGCCATTTCTCTCCTTCAGTTTACACATTTGTACAGTGCTTAGCTTAGGGCCTGGACCCATAGCAATCACCAGGGAAGCTGCTAGTTATTCCCCAACTGCAGTGCCACACACAGAAAACCACAGCTCACTACTTTCCCTGTCCCAAAGACTGTGAGTCTAGACTTTGGAGGCTTAGGGAGCTGGAGAGGGTCTATTCCCAAGGGGAAATGAGCAGGAAGTCCCTGGGATGAAACAGCCCCAGCTTCTCCACCCCAGGGTACAACTCCTGGAGAGGCTATTGTGACCTCTCACAGCCACGGACGCTAGAGGAGCTGAGTGCTGTGCTGAGGAACGAGAGGCTGGCCAGAAGCTTACTAGATCTCTACAAGACCCCTGACAACATCGACATCTGGATAGGGGCCATTGCTGAGCCCCTGGTAGAAGGAGGCCGAGTGGGGCCTCTCCTGGCCTGCCTCCTGGGCCAGCAGTTCCAGCGGATCCGCGATGGAGACAGGCAAGTGACACCTCCACCCAGGGAGGCCTGGATGGAGCCCTTCTCTGAGGTGACTGGGCCACCATCCTGTGGGAGGACTAACTCCAGCTCCACCACAGGTGGAGCTTTTCATGTGCCCAGTGACCTCCTTTGGCAGAGTGGGGAGAGGCCAGCAGGTGGACGTGACCCTGGAGTGACCTTGCTTCTGTCTCTGCAGGTTCTGGTGGGAAAACCCTGGGGTCTTCACAGAGAAGCAGCAAGACTCTCTGCGAAAAATGTCCTTCTCACGCCTTGTCTGTGACAACACTCACATCACCACAGTCCCACCGAACCCATTCCAGGCCAACAGCTACCCCCAAGACTTTGTAAACTGCTCAGCCATTGATACGCTGGACCTCTCACCCTGGGCCTCAGTGGAGAATTAGGTGCCCCGGGGCCATGGCCTCCCGCATTGCCCAGTAACTCTCCCGTTGGCCCATGTTGCCATTTCAAGCAAGTTCAATGTCCTGGGCCCTTAGAACTCCACACCCCAGTCCCTGCCCTTTCCTTTAGCCAGGCCTCTCTTGCAGATGAATAGCTCACTCAAGCCCAAGGGCGCCATTTCAGCCTCCGGAGCTCATCCACTTGGCTCCCACCACTTCCACGCCCATTCCCTCAGCCCCAGGAAATTGTCTTTCTATCAAGACTCAGACCCCCATGATGGCCTGCCAGTCCAGCTTGCCTGATGTCACCCATCCTCTCCCCTGAACAATCATTGCTGGGGCTGGGGCTGGGGCCTTGGACTCTGATCCTTCCTCCTTCCTCCCAGACTAGATTGTGAACTTCCCAAGCCAGGGACTTCCTCTTGCTACTACGCAGAGCCCAAGGCACTCAGCATGGTGTTCAGCTCACTTATGTGCTCAATAAACATCTGATAGTGGATGAAAGGCACTAGCAAAGGCACTGCTCCTTTCTGAAGGCAGGCCTTGGAACATTGCCAGATAAGTAACTAGATGCTTATAGTCCAGAGTGGCTGGCCCTACACTGTCTTGTGCATGGATGTGTGGGGTGAGAGGAGTGATTGGGTGGGATTTCCAAGAACTCTCAAAGAAGGGAGGCCGCAGGGGGCTCCTGGGGACATGAAGCAATGGCCACGGAGTAGCAGAAGAAGGCCTCAGGATGAGGATGTGTGGGGGAGGGGTTACAGGGACAAAACAGGAAGCGAAACCAAGTCTGGGTTTCCCTACAGCTAGAATTAATTTCTCGTTACCTTATGGGAAATACCCTCTTCTTCCTGTGCAGTCCTAAGAGCCTGTCAAGCCTCTGAAGGGGCAATTCCAGAACATCCCTTGAGCTGCTACCCAGTGGATATTCATACATCCTTTTAAAAAAAAAAAATGGCCCTCCAAAGGAAGGTCAGCCCAGGTGACTTGACAGGTAGGAGTAGGAGACACTCAGCTGTCCTGTAGGAAGAGCCCAGGGCAGAAGACCTGGGCTGAGGTCCTGACTGATGCCCACTTCCCCTCTCCACACAGCCCTCTCTTCATCAGTGACATGGGGGTGACTGGTATTCATCCTGCCACTCACCACAGTGAGGGCCTAGCTTCACTTGGGGGGCCCTCAAGTACACTAGGCTGCTTCCAGCAGCAGGTGCCCCTCCCTATATGTGGAAAGACGGAAGGGCAGGAGAGGGGCTCCACCAGTTGGATACAGGGGTCCAGATCCTGGGGTGGGGGATGCCTCCTCTCCCTCAGCACTGGCCCTGTCCTCCAGACACAGCCATCTGCTGTCCTTGCTCTAGGGGCCTGGTGATTTGAAATCTGGAAAGAGGATTCCACCATCTCGATGGCCTCTGAATCACTGTCCCAGGTTGAAGGATGCAGGACCCGGAGGTGCCCTGTCATCTGGGGAGGGTCTTCCTGCCAGCCCTCTGATCCTTCTCCCCGACAGGACAGGGTTGTGTTCCCTCTGTTTTCCAGCACCTGACACAGTCAGATCATGTAGTAAACATTTGCCGGAATAATGAATGAACATCAGGGCTTGGGGACCGTGTTCCTGTTCCACAGGTGGCAGAGGTGGAAGGTGAGGGACGAGGACCTGCTCAGCCTTGCCTGGCCCCAAGACTTCTAAGAACTGACTGCCCTCCAGGTATGGATTGGCCAGAGGACTCCCTGGTGCCCTCCCAGCTGATCAGAAAACCAGGCCCCGAGGCACCAACCACACTGGCTCCAATTTAGGGCCCAGAATGGGCCTCCTGCTGGGGCTCCAGCTCCTTCCCAGACACAGACAGAGGGGAGATCACCAGCAGTGACAGTTTATTATTATAAACATCAGGTACAAACAAATGGTACAGAAAGGTCAACAGCCCCTCCTTCCTCTCCAGGCAGGCTCCTGTGAATAAGCAAGAGAACAGAGTAAGATAGGAAAAGGAGAGCTATGGACTGATCCTAGCTGCCCTGAGTCATCACTCAACTGCTAAAGGCTTGGTCCTCCAGAAGAGGCTGGTTCACCTCTGCTATGGAGGACAAAACTTCTTGAGGGCAAAAATGGTATCTGCCTTTCTTGACTCTGTTTCGCATGCCTAGTACAGTGCTTGGCATATAGCAGGTGCTCAATGAATGAAGAATTAGAGCATTTGTGGTAAATGGATAGAGTTGGAGAATATCATGCTAAGCGAAGCAAGCCAATCCCCCAAAACCAAAGGTTGAATGTTTTCTCTGATAAGTAGATACTAATCCATAATGTGGTGGTGGGGGGTATGGGATGAGTAGAAGAATTTCAGATTGGGCAAAGGGGAGGGAGAGGAGAGTAGGAAGCATGGGGTAAGGAAAAATAATGGAATGAGACAGATATCATTACCCTAGATACATGTGTGAGTACACAAATGGTGTGACCCTATTTCTTGTACAACCAAAGAAGTGAAAAATTGTGCTCCATTTGTGAACAATGAATCAAAGAGCATTCTGCTGTCATGTATAACTGATTAGAACAAACAAACAAACAACAAGAAAAAGAATTAGAGAATGCAAACAGGCTCCCTGTGGAGCTGTCATTTACAAGAAAGAAGACTCAGGCTTAAGGAGATTCAGTGGTTTGCCCAAGATCATGAAGCTAACAAGCTGCAGAGCCAGGATTTAAATCCAGGTGCCTTGGCTCCTGGGCTGTGCTCTGCTTCTTCCATATGCTTAATACTCTTATAAGCAGCAAGCACACTCACATGAATGATACACATACAACACTGCCCATGTTCACAGACAACACAAATATTTGACATTTGGATTTACATACATTGCACACACGTACACACACAAACACATACGAGTGAATATTCAGTCATTTTCTCAACTGGCACCCAGAACGGGGTTGGGCTCACCTAGGGAAGGGAGCTCTCTGTCATTCCAATCAGCCAGCCCAGGTTTACCCCTCACTGGAGTAGACTCTTACCCAGCTCTAGGCCTCCCTCCAGGAAGTCAGGTCCAACGCAGGGAGAGAACTGCAGTTGACAAAGTCACGGGGGAATGAGTTGGACATGAAGATGTTGTTCCTGGACACGGTGGTGATGCCTGTGTTGTCGCAGATGATACGGGGCAAGGAGATCCTGGCCAGGGCCTGCCGTTGCCTCGTGCTGAACACATTCTTGTTCTCCCACCAAAACCTACACGGGGGCATCCATAGACATTGTGCCTGAGGCTGGCATGTTCTGGGCTGGAGGGTGTCACCTAGCTTGAAGTGCTCCCTGGATGCAAGACTCCACTCTGAAGCTCAGGAGAGCTCCAGGCCCTTGAGAAATACAGGGATTTTCAGTACAGGGAAGACTAGGGGTCTCCCACTCACAAAACAGAGTAAAGCCCAGCTTTCTGGTTACCTGCTCTGGCCCCAGCCCATCAGCCTCCAGGACACCATTCATACTCGAAAGGAGGGAGCAGAGCCCACCCTCCTTCATGAAGTCCTGTGCCCAGGGCTGCATCCACAGGAAGGGGGAATGGGGACACTTTCTAATATTCCCAAAGGTGCAATATGGACCAGGTAAGAACTGGACATGAAGGTGTCATGACCACGATGAAATGACACAAAGGGAAGCCATGGGAAAGCTATGCTGGGACTATTTGATGGTGATTGACATCTCCATAGTTGCACAGAGAAACCCAAAGAAGTAGTAAGAATGGCATTTTTTTTCTGTCTTCCTTCTTTTGAAATCAGGACTCCAGTTTCCTCCCTGCTGTACCCCTACAGGCTCAGGACACATTAAAGATGACCTGGAAGCTCCCTGAGACACAGAGGGAAATCAATGACTCTTTGCAGCCCTTAACTTGACAGGAGGAAATTGAGGCCCCTGACAGGTTCAAAGATAGGCCCGTGGCCACCCACCCAGCCAGCCTGAGCTGCTGCAACACTTCCTCACCGATCTCCATCGCGGAGCTTCCTGAACTGGGTGCCAATGAGGCAGGCGAGGAGCTGGCCCACACGGCCATTGGGCTCCAGGGGCTCAGCCACGCCACCCATCCAGATGTCAATGTTATTGGGCGTGCCATACTGTGCCATCAGCTTCCTTGCCAGGTCCAGGTTCTTCATCACCGTGCCCAGCTCACCCACTGTGCTGGGCTGTGGGAGCCCACAGAAGCGCCTCCAGGCATTGTACCCTGCATGGGAGAGGGGGCAGTGAGCTCTGGATGGTCCACCTGCTACAAGGTGGGGAGGACACTGGGACAGCAGGGAAGATTCAGATGTATGCCATTAACCCAGAAAACCCAACTTCTCCACATCCCAAGGCCATAGAGGGAGCCCTGACCCCTTGACTCAGGACAAGAGGGACAGCTAGGCCTCCCCAGACCCTCATTGTCTCTCCTTTGCTCTCCCACCCTAAGGCAAACACTAAACTGCCATAACTCCTGCCAGGTCCAAGAACGGGGCATCTCATTGTCCCCTGGAGCAACCCACTGTGTCTATCTCTGACCCATGATGGGTAAAGGGCGTCTCAAAGGCTCAGCCACACAGGCCACCCATAACCCATGCACAGACTTTGGGGTCAGGCTGATCTGGGTCCAAGTTTGTGATCTGTCACTGATTTGGCTAGAGAACCTAGCCAGATTTTGACTGTCTCTATGCCTCAGTTTCCTCATCAGTCAAGCGGAAGTAACAATCTCTTCCCCTCCAAGTTCACGAACAACAGGTCAAAATGAAATGATGGTAGAGACACATTTCCACCCTGTGGGTGACTGTTGCTGCCGCTGCTCCTGCAGGTTGGAACGTGCAAAGGAGCCTGAGAGAAGCTAGAGTTTGATCAGAGGGGTCCAGGGAAAGGGAGGTGCCTGACCTCAGATGACTTCCTGAGGACAAAGTGCTAGGGTGAGGGAAGCTTTGGTCAGCTCAGGGCATGGAAAGGGCAGGGCCCCGAGTGGGAAGGGGAGCTGTGGGCTCCCTGGATGGTAGGATGGGGGCTGCAGGTGGCCAGGGAGACTCCTGCAGCCCCTCACCTGGGAGGCCGTGGTCCCTGCTGCGCTGCATGTTCAGAGCGGGCAGGTCCAGCCCGATCCTCATGACCTGCTCAAACAGTCGTTCCCGAATTTCATCCACCACAATTTGGTTCTGGCGATTCAGCTTGGCGGGGGTGGCCATGAGGCCCCGGAGGATGGGGTCAATGCCACCTGAAGGCAAAAGGAGCAAGGTTGAGAGACAAGGATTAGCTCAGTATCAAAGATCAGACTGGAGCCAGAGCAAGGCCAGGTGGGGTCAGGGGATTGGAGAAGAGGGACAGCCATAGGCAACACTTGGTGCCAAGGTGGCCCCACTGGGCAGGTTCTCACTGGGCACTACATGACCCCAGGGGCATATAGGGCTCAGGAGATGACGTCATTCAGGTTTGCAAGGTTGGGATGCATCCCTTCCCTGGCCTCCTGACTCACAGAGTCCCAACACATAGGAAGGAGCCAGCTGTATCTGAGAACTATCTCCACCCTCACTCTTTATTCTTGGATCTGGAGGTAGAGTCAGGTGCACTGAGAATGGAAGATCAGACTAGATCCCCAAAAAAGGAAAGAAAGAGCTCCCCTTACCCTAGCTCCCTGCACCCCAGCCCACCTCTCCCACCCGCAGCTGCCAGCGCCCTCTCTGCTGGTCCAAGTCCCACTCACCTTCCAGCACCACCCTCCAACTGGCAAAAAAGACCCTGCTGAGTGGAACTCGAGGATTGGGCTCCATGGGCCGGTACTGACTGTCCAGGCGGAACATGAAGGGTTGGATGAGGGTGTGGCCATAGCGGAAGGCATTGGTGAAGACGTTGGAGATGCGCGGGTCCACCGAGTCGTTGTAGCAGCGATATCTGGGTAGGTACTTCCTCATGGCCGCTGGCCCCAGCACCAGGGGCAGGTAATCTCGGTAAGTGATGATCTAAAAAAAAAAAGTCACTTGGAACAGTCTCTCCACTCACTGGTCACTGCAGTGTCCACCTGCTTCAGGCTTGGGTGATCGCTCCTATCCATCTAGGTCAATGCAATGAATCCCACAGTACTGATTCAGTCCAGGTGGGGAAAGGGGGTTAGAGAAGAAGGCTGCACATATCCAACACCTCAGAGTGGCACTAAGGAGCATAAGCAGAGCTCTGCTGTTTGCTGGCTCTATGACCTTGGGCCATTTACTTACTTCTTTGAGCCTCAGTTGTAAATTAGAGATAATTATATAGGATAATTATATGTGTGTGTGTGTGTGTGTGTGTGTGTGTATGTGTGTGAATGCCACAGTCTGGCTGGGCACAATTCAGGAGCCACTTGTCAAAAGAAACAAACTTTATTTTTAGAACACACTCGCCAAACCACACAGCTCTTCAGGAAAACCGTCAGAGCCCAACTGCCACCACCGGCTTCCCACAAGCCACTCCACCTCCCCCACTCCTCCTGCTCTTAAGGCCAATTGGCTAGGTCTCGTGGGCCGAGCAAAAAAAAGTCCCCCAAGGAGCAGCTCCATGGTCTGAAAGGGCGGGGAAACAGCCCAATGAGCATCACCACAGAGGAGCCAATCAGTTGGCAGCTAGAAGTTTGCTGGGGCTGCTGTTAAATGAGGCCAAGGAGTTTGGTTGGGTGACAGTGGCCAAAAAGAAGAGGAAAATAGATAAAGGAGCCAAGAGTGACAATGAAACAGAGGAAGAGAGAAATGTCCACTGAACTGCTGCTGGGCATCAGAGACCCCCCTGGTGGATTCTCCCAACACCATTGCCAGGCCCACAGCAAAGAGGGAAACAAGGCAGGAAGTGGGGGAAGGGAAGTAGCCTTTGCCAAGCATTTCACATCTGCCAGGTGTTTGCAGTAGGTCCATTAATCCAAATGGCATCATGGATGAAGAATCCAAAGCTTAGGAGAGTTAGCAACTTGCCCAAGATCACACAGCTAGGCTGTCACAGAGGTAAACCTGGATCCCAAGTCAGTGTGACACTCAGGACAGCCTACCTGGACCATGGCCCCCACGATTTTCCGGGCTTCCTGGTAGAGCTTCTCTCCATTCCACCTGGGATTGAGGCTCTTGAGCTGTGTGGCCAGCCGGTTATGCTCTCGAACAAAGAGGGTGTGCATGGAGGTGAGTTCAGGCATCTCACTGGAACGGGTGTCCCCTTAAGGAGGCAAAAGCCACTGTCATTCCTGAGACCTTCATCCCAGAAAAGATTTGCTCCACTGAAACTCCCTGTCTCCTGCCTACCCTCCTCTCCACCCATCTCTTCCCCCGGAGGCTGAGTTTATACTTCTATATGGGTCCTCCTCTGATGCCCTTGTTCACCATAATAGCTTTTTCTCCTGTTAGGGACATGGCTAGCCAGAGATGCTTAGTAAGACCTCGGATCCAACACGTGACTACCCTAGCTGAAACTGGGAGCTCTTCCAAGACTGGGCCCAAGGCTTGTGCCTTTTTGCATCTCATCCTCCCTCCCATCAACCCCTGGCATAAGAGGTGTTCTGGGGTGTAGCACCGTGCCTGGTACCAAGTGTAAGATCCATAATGCTTCCTAGTTAGCTGGTTCTCCTGATTCAAGGAAAGTCAAAAGGTAACGTGCATATTGGCACAAACTGTTTCCATGCTTGTGTCAGACACCACTAACGATTACAGCACTCTTGCTAACATTGAATGCAAGCAACCTCAGAAGCCTCCTGAACACAGAACCCCAGAGGAACACTACCATTGGAACAGAGTTGACAGCATCACCCTGTGACATGCCAATTTTGCAGCCTGCTTCAGGGTGGGCTAGGGCACGGGATGGGCCGAGTGTAGACTGGTGTAGCCTGGGATTCTGTTCAAGAAAACTAAGCAAGACCCCCTGGTTCCACTAGTCTGCCCCAAAACTTTCCCTGGAAGGGCTAAGGTCAGGGCCATTTCAGCAGGACACAGGCTTCTGCCCTGGCCAACTCTAGAAAGGAAATTCTAGGAGGAAAGGATATTCTCTGAGAGTGATTTCTCCATCCCATGAGCAGTGAGAGGTCATGGTGATCCAGGACTGGGACATACAGCTTGTCATTCCTGAGGATCATTGCTCTTGCTTCAGTAGCAAGAAGGGTGGCCCCTTCCTCAGGAGAAAGATCACTTGGGCACTGACCTTGATTCTTCTTCCAGGAGCCCAGGAAGAGATCACCAGGAGCCACCAGGAGAAGGGGGAAGCAACAGGAGGAAAGGGCCTTCAACCCACCATTGGATTTTCATTAAAACACACTGGATGGGGCTGGGGTTGTGGCTCAGTGGTAGAGTGCTCACCTAGCATGTGCAAGGTGCTGGGTTCCATCCTCAACACCACATAAAAATAAACAAATAAATAAAGGTATTGTATCCAACTCCAACTAATATATATTTTTTTAAAAAAAACACACTGGAAAATTTCTTCCATCACTGTCTCAACCCTACCTACAAACCCTCAGGTGTTTAAAGTTGAAATCCCACCCTCTATAATTATGGGTAATCAAGGTGGGCAGTAGCACTTTCAACTAGAACTTTCTGAGATGATGAAAAACATCTACCTCTGTGCTGCCCAGTTAGGGGAGCCACTAGCCCATGAGGCTACTGAGTACTTGATATGTGGCTAGTGCAGCCGAGAAGCTTTTTTTTTTTTTTAATTTCATTGAATTTAAAATAATTAAAATTAAAATAGCCACCTGTGGCTATCGGCTTCATATTGGACAGGATATGGACACCACTGTGCTCTCTGTCCTTAAGGGAATCAACTCTCCTCTCTTCCAGAGTCCAGAGGAGAAAAGAGAAACAGAGAAAGTGATAGAGGCTCCTTGGACATCCCTGTGTCTCCATCCAACTTGTGACCAAGGCAGCTGGACTAATGACTCCGAAGTTGGTGAAGACAGTGTCTCCCACTACAGATCCACCCGCTGCTCACAAGCAGGCTGACTATAGCTCCTGCAGGGAACACCTCTTATGCCACCCCAGAGCTGACCTGCCAGGAAGCAAGGGATTTGCACAGAGCGGTTGGTGAGGAGACAGGGGTCATCATGCAAGTTGTCGAAGGGCAGCAGGGCCCTGCCATTATCTTGGAAGCGGGTGTTGACGGCCAGCAGCCCCATCTGGTTGGTCAGGTTGCGCAGCTTCATGGCCAAGGGGTCCTCGCTGCCGTACACCATGCTGGCGTCCACAAAGGAGGTGAGCGCATTGATCTGGTTGCGGATGGTGATGTTGCTCCCAGGACAAGCCGGGCAGGAGCGGAAGAAAGGGATGCAGTCACGTTGGTTCTTGATGCGGGGGTCATTAGGTGGAATCTGCAGCACAGAAAGGCTAGGTGGGTTCATGAGGGACCGTGCAAGAGAAACTAACCTTTGGACCTCTGGCCCCCTGAATCTTCAGGTGGGTCTCTCAAGGCCCCAGCGGGATCAGTCTGAGGTTCCACCAGCAGAGTGCCTCTGAGGTTCAGGAGTGGCCCGGAACACTGAACTGGGAATGTGGGACACCCCCCAGGGGTAGGCAGTGCCAGTCCTCTGACCCCTTCTCACTAAATCTCCCCTCTCTCTCCTCCCCTCCTCTTCTCTGGACTTGGTCCCTTCACTCTTACTCTGTCTCCTCTTTCTTTCCTTTCCCCTTTTCCTTGTCCCTTTCCTGTCACTCTGGCCCCATCCCTCTCCCTCCTTCCCTCTCAGACTCTCTTCTTTCTCTCCTCTTCCCTCCCTATTCAGCCTGTGACTCCATGGGACTTCTCTGGGAGCTCCACCCCCCCCCCCCCCAGCTCTCTGCTCTCTGTGATGCGGGGATGGGGAATGGCCCAGGAGGAGGGGGAAAAAACAAGACTGTGCACAGGGCATCTATGCTGGGAGGTCTGAGAGACACCAGAGGTCCTCATCCCAGAACTCTTTTGCAGCCTCACAAATGGGCAGTAATTTCTGTTAGCTAGGGCAGAACCACTGCTCTCTCCCTTGGCCTGGGGGAGTCAGTAAACAAAGGAGATGCCCTGGCTGACAGTTGGTCCTGAGGAGGGGACTGGTCAGAGCCAGGACAGGCACAGGCTCTGGACGACACAAGGAAGCAGCCCTTGCCCTCCTCAGGGGCTGAGAAAAGAAAGCTGGACACAGAAGGTGGCCGCTTCCAGGAGCAATGTCCCCTCTCCACCCACAGCCCAACAGTGGGTGGGAGGAAGCAGCACCTTGAGCGGGAAGCAGGGTGGCTGCTGCAGGCAGCTGGTCTCACAGTTGAGGCCAGTAATGAAGGAGGCCCGTGCTGCAGGCTCTGGGGTGAAGTCAAGGTCGTGGTCCAGAAACTGGCCCCACTGCATGAACATGAGCGACCGCTGCTGGTCCCTGGTCAGCTGCTCTGTGGGGAAGCGCACGATGGCGTTGGAGACTGCGCGAGCCTGCAGGACACCGGGGCGTTAGGGGGCGCCGCACCAGGCTGGGCCTCCCCCTCTGCCCACCAGGTGCTCACCAGGGGCACGGGGAAGCCACCGCGCTTGACCCCTGGAGTCCAGCCGAAAGGCAGCGAAAAGCCGTCCTCGTACTCCGCTGGCAGCCAGCGTGCAAAGGCGCGGTTGGAGGCCCCAAGCGTCGGGCTGCGTCTGCAGAAAAGCGCAGGGTCGCTAAAGCCAAGTGGCTACGCTGGCCTGACCCAACCCTCCCAGAGTCCCGGCCTGGGGCTGCACCTGTTGTTGCACTGCCCGGTGATGGTGCGATATGTGTCCTGTTCAGGGCATGTCACCCTCACGTCCTGGTAAGCACAGCCGCTTGACTTGGACAGCAGATTCAGTTGAGCAGGTGTCAGCACATCTGCAAGGGAGAAGCAGGATGTGGGAACCAAGCCCCCATTTCCTCTTCTGAGGAGGAGGAGCCCTGAATACCCTAGTGGGGCACAGGCTGAGAAGTGAAGGGGATGCTCAGACACCTCTGAGACTCCTTAGAGGGAGGATTTGTGGGGATCACAGGACCTGGCGAGGGTTACTAGGAGAGATCCTAGTGGAGGTGGGAGAGGGGGCAGTACCTGTGACATTGAAAGGCCCTGGACACAGGGGCTGAAGCTTCCTCTTCAACAGGTCTAGAGCCACATGCAGGTAGTCTGCAGCCCTCACAGCCGTCCTGGTGCCTGCTACTGGCTGCTTGAAGTAGGATAAGAGTTCCATGGGACTGGCAGAGCCACTGCGAAGCCTCTGCTTGATGCTGCATGGAAAAGGGGGGACCAAAGAAGGGGTACAGAGACACTCAGCAGAGCCCTTTCCCGGGGGTGGATAGGCAGGACAATGTAGATAGACTTGCAGGCAGGAAGAGGTTTCTTTTGATAAAAATGATATGGATGTGGGTGTCCAGATGGTAACAAGTCCATGGGAAGGGTGGCTTTCAAGATGTTCTTGCTCCCAGAGACCCAGGGACAGACAGCCCAGCTCCGCCCCCCCCCCATGCTCCCCACCTCCCTGCACAAACTCCCTGCTGCCCACTCCTTCCCTGAAAGGCCTGGGACAACTTTGCTCAGAGCTGAGCAGTGCTGCACATCCCACCTTTCCCGCCGCTCCTTGTAGGCTTTGTCCACAAGCCGCTTGGCCTCTTCCATGCAGGTCAGCACCACTGAGGTCTCCACCTCTCCCAGGAGGACTGACCAGAGCAAGGATCACAAAGTCAGGAATGGAGGCCCCATCAGGCCTCAGAACCTAGGAGGCATGTGCTGAGAACAAGGAGTCCCTGGGACTCACCCCTGGAACACCTTACCCTTCTTTTTGAACTGTTACCTGAAGTGGCATTGTCAGAGGCTTGGGACATGGGCAGAATGGCCAGGAGCCCTGCTAGAGTCAGGAGCAGCTTCATCTCTGCAATGAGACCCCCAACCAATAAGAGCCCCACCTCCACTCCCAGGCCCCTCATCCCACCTTCACCCTCCAGCCCCATCTCAAAGGGCCTGGTATGGGCAAAGCCAGGCCTCCTTGAGAGAGGGTCCACAGCACCTTCACCCCCTTGCCAGCTGTAGTCACCAGCCCCCAAGGACCTCAACTCCACAGTTGATCTGACATTGGTAACTCCTCTCACTGAATCTTGGCCTTTATGTTCTCTAAGGTGGAGGCGGGGCAGGGCAGAGGGAGGTCTATCCCAAGAGACTGAACTCTCTCCTCCCTCAGAAGCCCTTGAAATGGGGGAGAAGGACAAAAGAAGGGACCAGGGTTGCCCCCAGATTTTTTTCCCCTATAGTGTTGGGAGTGAGAGCCTCGTACATGTTAGGTAAGCACTCTATCACTCAGCTGTACCCCCAGCCCACTTTTATTTTATTTTTTATTTTAAGATAGACTCTTGGGCTGGGGTTGTGGCTCAGTGGTAGAGTGCTTGCCTAGCACATGTGAGTTTGATTCTCAGCACCGCATATAAATAAATAAATTAAGGGCTGGTGTGTAGCTCAGTGGCAGAGTGCTTGCCTAGCACGTGTGAGGCACTGGTTTGAACCTCAGCACCCCATATAAATAATAAATAAAAAATAAAGTACATCAACAACTAAAAATTATTTTGAAAAAATAATTAATTAATTAATTAAAGATCAATCAACAACTATACATATATATAGGTGTGTGTGTGTGTGTAACTAAATATATACATATATATATTTTTTTTTCATAAATAATAGTTTTTAAAAAGATAGGCTCTTGCTAAGTTTCCCAGGCTGGCTTTGAACTTGTGATTCTTCTTCCTAGCAGAAGACTACAGGTGTAGGCCATGTCGTTGGACTGTCCCAGTTCTTGAACTTACCACCCGCATCCCAGGGTTTCTCAGCTCCCTAACTGTATGCCTATATCACAGCTGTCCCAGAGAGAAACTAATGGCTAAACCCTCCAAAATTCTGGCTAAGCAGTATCCAGGATTCCTTTGAAAGAAACAAAATTCAGGAACAACAGCCTAAGGGATTATAGAGGATGCAGTGACCCCCAAGGGAGGGTGAAGGGGAAACCTGGAGTGATGCTGACCAAGTCAGCCTCCGGGGGCCACTCCCATCCCAACAGTCACCTGGCCTTGTGGGCAGCCTAGGAGGCAGCCCCCAGTTCTTGGTGGGGCCAAGGGGACAGGAAGTCTGGCTAGAGACCGTTGGGTTTCACCAGAAGGACTCTGGGAGCTGCAGGCTCAGAACCAAGTTAACTTCCTCTATCCCTCTTCCCTCCGCTTTCTTTTTGGCTTATGGTGAGGGGCTGTCTCCAACACCCTGGCCATCTGCTCCTGGATTTCAAGAACCAGGAAAGAACAAGCTAATTGTGGTTAGTGGGTCAGTTGGATGACACGGCCAGAGCCTCTCTGGGACAAGATCAGTGTAGTTGGGAGGAACTGGGTTAATGATTCAAGATTCTTCTGAAATAGAAGAGGAGGGAGTTTCTCCCTTGAGAAAAACTGGCAGAGGGGCTGCCATTCTCAGGGATAAGAGCACCTGTAACTTCTATCTGTGTTTGTCCACCCTCTGAGCCTTCCTCAGGCTGAGCTCCTGCCAACAACCATGGCCCCCAGGTCCTGTTTTGGTCTGTCCACGCCTCCTACCTTCAGCCACCTTCCTGCTTTTTCTTTTCTTCTAGGACCAGACAACATCTTGAGCAAGGAACAAGGGACAACAACAAACCCAGAACATCTTCCCAAAGTGCCCAGGGATTCGGTCACCTGCCCAGAAACTGAGCCCAAGGCTTATGAGAGAGGAGACCAATTTTCCAGTCTTGCTTTGCCAGTGATTTTTTTTTTTTTATATGTAACTTGGTCAAGTGGCTCTGTGTGAATCAGGTTCTAGAATTCTAATAGACTTTGGAAATACTTTTTCTTTGCCTACAAATAATATTTTTTTTCTTTTTGGCCAAGGATTGAATCCAGGGACGCTTACTCACTGAACCACATCTTCAGCCCTTTATCACATTTTATTTAAAGACAGGGTCTCACTAAGTTGCTGAGTTGCTTAGGGCCTTGATAAATTGCTGAGCCTGGCTTGCTAAATTGCTGAACTCAAGATCCTCCTGTCTCAGCCTCCAGAGCTGCTAAAATTATAGGTGTGGGGCACCATGCCTGGCTAGAAGTAATATATTTTCATGGATGAGAAGTTAGAGAATACAAATCAATAAAAAGTAAAAGTAAATTAAGTTTATAACCACCCACGTTAGAGTGTGGGCCATTTTCTTTCAAAGTTTGTTGTTGTTTTTCATATAAATAAACCATAGAAATTTCCCATAATCCCACCAGTCACCAATACTCAGTAATTCAATATATCATGTTTAGATGTATTTTTAAACAGTGATAAGAACAACTTTAACTATTATTTTGAAACCTACTTTTAGTACTTAACAGTTTTAGCCTGAACACCTACATCAATAAACAGGTTTATAGATGGGTGTGGTGGCCCACACCTGTAATCCCAGTGACTAGGGAGACTGAGACAAGAGGGTCACAAGTTCGAGGCCAGCCTGAACAACTTACTGAGACTCTGTAAAAAATAAAAAGGTCTACTCGGTGGTAGAACACCCCTCAGTTCAATCCCTAGTACTTATTAAAAAGTTGCAGGTGTACTTCATTTTTATGTCTGCATATATTTGTGGAAGGGACTTTTTCCCTATATTTTTATTAGTGCCTTATAATTACAATAATGATGGAATTCATGATTATATATTCATATATGCACACAACAAAATAATAGAATTTGGTCAATATCATTCCCAGGGTTTACATATTTTATATGATTTTATATGCTTTATTGGTTAAACCTACCTTGCACGAGCCAAGTACTGTGTTGGGCAGTGGGCATATTCCACCGAGCAAAGCATGAGCCTGTCCTCAAGGAACTCACAGTGGCAAACAAATGGCACAGCATGAGCTTGTGCACGGTCCTTAGGAAATGTCAAGGCACCTAGATCAGCCAGCATGGTGGCCTGTAATCCTAACTACTCAGGAGGCTATGACAGAAGGATCGTAAGCTCAAGGCCAGCCTGGGTAACTTAATGAGACCCTGTCTCAAAATTAAATATATGTATATATACACGAGCACTCACGCACACACACAGGGCTGGGGATGTAGCTCAGTGTTAGAGCACCCCTGGATTCAATTCCCAACACCACAACAAACAAAAAACAATAACAAAATTCACTTTGATCAACTCTTCCTCGAAGAGTTGCTTCTTAAGACTGTTTCCAAGTTGACCAAGTAGACCCAGGTTGAAAGGGCATTCTGGGTCCAGAGAATGATACAGCAAAGGCCTTGACACAATAAAGCTTCATTCAGACTGTTCTACTTCAAGTTCAAAGAACAGGCAGGAGGAGGCTGGGGAGGCAGACAGGGGCTTGGGACCCAACACACTTGACAACCTGCTGAGAAGTTCATATCCTGCGGGAGCCACAAAGGCAGGGGCTGGAGATGCTCTGAGACTTAAAATTGTTTCCAAACAGTTAAAAATAACCCAACTGTGGTCCCTGCAAGGCCAGCATCTTCCCTTGCCGGTACCTCTGTTGATCCCTCACCAGGGGCCTATTTGGCCCAGGTATGTTTGACACTCAAAGATTTCTCAGCATGAAGAGTAACCAGGAGGGGCTGGGGTTGTGGCTCAGTGGTAGAGTACTTGCCTAGCATGTATGAGGCACTGGGTTCAAGCCTCAGCACCACATAATAAATAGAAAAAGGGGCTGGGGATATAGCTCAGTTGGCAAAGTGCTTGCCTCGCATACATAAGGCCCTGGGTTCAATCCCCAGCACCACAGTCAATCAATCAAATAAAATAAAGGTATGATGTCCATCTACAACTAAAAAAAAAAAAGAGTAACCAAGAAATATTGCTCCCTGGGAAGAGGTCTCAAGCAAGCCTTGTGCCATCAGTCACACTCCAGCTCTCCACCTTGAGGGGTGGCCTCTGGAGGGCACTGCTGGAACCGCCACATGTTATGACTTGAGTCATTGGAGGGAGCACACTCTGTCTTCCCTGCTCCCCACGCAGCTTTCTCAAACACCCCCATCCCCCCACCCAGGGGTTAGCCCAACGGCCAGTGGGATAACAGCCCTCAAGGCTACTGCTTGCAAAAACAGCTTGTTCTTTCTTAATGCTGTTTAAGAAAGAAAGTCAGTTGAGATTATGCCAGATTTCCTGTGTGTATGTGTGTGTGTTAGAGAGAGAGAGAGGGAGGGAGAGGAAGAGAGTGAGAGAGACTTGCACGTGGTTGGAGAGAAGGAGGTATCTCCAGAAGGCTGTGGAAGCTGAGGATGAGACAGAACAGTGGCTATTTAGACACCCCAATTGCTGGTCTCTCTTTAAAATCTTTTTAAAATTAATTTTGAGTTCTACACACGATGAATATTGAACAAAATGTAAAATTAAAGATCCGATTAAAGCTCCCTTTAAATTAGGTTATTACATCATCCCCAATTCCACTCCCCTCCCCCCCTCTGTAGACATAAACACTATTGTCATTTTGGGGTTTGTCCTTCCAAACTTTTTGCTTTCTATTCATTCATGTGTCTGGACATGTGGGAAATATTCTGCTGCCTTTAGTTTTTCATAAATAGTATCACCTTGTATGTATTGTTCTGCTACGTGCTTCTTTCACTCAGCAATACATCTTGCAAGAGCTGGGGATGTGGCTCAGAGGTAGAGCGCTCGCCTAGCACGCGTGAGGCACTGGGTTCGGTCCTCAGCACTACATAGAAATAAAATAAAAATATCGTGTCCACCTAGAGTTCAAACTAGGCTCAAGCAGTAGCGCGCTCGCCTGGCATGCGCTGGGTGCTGGGTTGGATCCTCAGCACCACATAAAAATAAAATAAAGATGTTGTGTCCACCAAAAACTAAAAAAGAAATATTAAAAAATTCTCTATCTCTCTCTTTCTCTCTTTAAAAATAATTAATTAATTAATTAATTTAAAAAATACATCTTGCAGATGTTTGGTGAACTACTTAAAAAACAATCTCACTTTTTAACAATTATATAATGTTCTTTAGTTGGGCTCTCCCTCCATTATGTCATCATTCCTCTCTTAATGAAAGTTGACATTTTTCTTTTTTTTTTTTATTACTAAAAGCAGTGCAGCAGGAAGCCTCCTTGCACATGCACACACACGAATGCTCTCCAGGGTAAAAACTG